AGAAGTATAGTACAAAAAGTGACGAAATGTAGTTTTCTCTGCAGAATCCTGCAACACTATCATTTTTCACATACCACCTCTAGAATACCGCCAACAAAGTGGTATCAGAGCTGCAGATCCTTGCACCTGCAACAAAAATAACAACAGTTATGGCTTCCACAAACAATCCTTCTGTAACTTACAGCAATGTCAAAGTTCCTCTATTTGAAGGAGAGAACTATGATTTTTGGACTGTTAAAATGGAGACTCTATTCATATCTTTGGATGTTCTAGAGTATGTCAAAAATGGCTATGAAGAACCGGCGCCAACAAAGGCTGAAAAATCAAAAGAAAAGGCTGAAGAATCAAGCCAACAGCTTGAAGAATTGAAGAAGAAGAACATCACAGATGCTGGAGTTCTTGGGATGATTCAAAGAGAGGTCTCTCTATCCATCTTCCCAAGGATTATGAGAGCTAAAACATCGAAAGAAGCCTGAAGTATCCTAGAATAAGAGTTCGAAGGAGACTCAAAGGTGCGAATGGTGAAGCTTCAATCTCTTAAGAGAGATTATGAAAATGAAAGGATGAAGCAGAACGAGAGCCTGAACGAATACTTCAACAGACTCTCCGAGTTGGTGAATCAGATGAAGTCACATGGTGATACGATAGAAGATCGCAGAATTGTTGACAAAATTCTGATCAGTTTGACAACAAGATTTGACCCACTGGTGGGGGTAATAGAAGAAACCAAGGATCTATCGACCTTGACTGTTCAAGGTTTGATGGGGTCTTTGAGATCCTATGAGCAAAGGATGTTACAACATTCTGAAAAATCAATCGAGAGTGCCTTTCAATCTAAACTCAACATTCAGCCCAACAATGGTGAAAATAAGCCCCAAATACAAACTAGAGGTGAGTCTTCCAGAGGTGGCATATTTGGAAGAGGCAGAGGCAGAGGTCGAAACTCACGTGGCAGATATGGAAGAAGCACAAATGGCGGAAGATGGAATGGAGCATCAAACAAATGGTGTAAAATTTGTAACAGCGGTACTCATGACGAGAAGGATTGTTGGAACAAAGGTAAACTGAAATGCCACAATTGCAAGAGATTCGGGCACCTTCAAAAGGATTGTCGTCTTGCAAATCAACAACATGCTTCGTACGCAGAAGGAGAATCTGATGAAGGAAATTTATTTTTTACTTGTCAAAAAGCATTGCATGAAGAAGGTAAAAATGTATGGTATTTGGACAGCGGCTGTAGCAACCATATGACCAGACAGAAGGAAGCATTTATAAACATTGATTCTTCATTTGGCTCAAAAGTTAAATTGGGAAATGGAGAACATGTCATGGTGAAAAGGAAAGGAAGCATTGGAGTCACCACAAAGCAAGGAAACAAAGTCATACATGACACGCTCTATGTACCAGAATTAGACGAAAATTTGCTTAGCATTGGACAACTTATGGAGCACGGCTAGTCTCTAAACCTTGAGAATAACGAGTGCATAATTTTTGACTCAAAAAGAAGAAGTGTTGCCGTTGTGAAGATGACTAGCAACAAGAGCTTTCCACTATCTTTTAACTATGAGAAAAATGTAAGCATGATGGCCAGAGAAGAGAATGACTCGTGTTTATGGCACAGGAGACTTGGGCATTTGAATTACGAAAGCCTCAAGTTACTCTATCAAAAGAAGGTGGTGTATGGGCTGCCAAGAATCGAAGAAAAATCTGGTGTGTGCGAAGGTTGTGTGCTTGGCAAACACCACCGACAACCATTTCCAAAGGAAGGTGCATGGAGAGCTAAACAAGTGTTGGAACTTATACACACAGATGTGTTTGGCCCTATGAATACTTTGTCTCATGGCAAAAATAGGTACTTTATCTTGTTTATTGACGACTTTACCCGCATGACTTGGGTATATTTCATGAGACAAAAATCTGAAGCATTTGTAATCTTTAAGAAATTTAAAGCATTAATCGAAAAACAAAGTGGCAGATTTATAAAGATGCTGAGAAGTGATCAAGGGAAGGAGTACACCTCAAATGAATTTCATAAATTTTGTGAAGATGAAGGTGTTGAAAGACAGCTCACTGTTGGATATACACCTCAGCAAAATAGTGTATCTGAAAGAAAGAACCAAACCGTGATGGAGATGGCGAAGTCTATGATACTTGAAAAAGGTTTGCCTAAAACCTTTTGGCCCGAGGCCGTTAACACTACAGTGTATTTGATGAACAGGTGTCCAACAAAGGCCGTGTTGAAAAAGACTCCATTTGAAGCCTGGAGTGGAAGAACTCCGTCGGTGAACCATCTTAAAATTTTTGGGTGTGTTTGCTATGCTCAAATTCCTAAACAAAAGAGGACAAAGCTAGAAGAAACAAGTGAAAGATGTGTCTTTATTGGCTATAGTTCCATGTCAAAGGGCTATGGACTTTACAACTTAAAGATAAACAAGGTGATCATTAGCCGGGATGTTGTATTTGATGAGAACGCTTCTTGGAATTGGGAAGAAGACAAAACGAAGGAGAAAACAGTCCCTCCAATCATATTACAACAACAAAACCCAACAACTTATAATGAGCAACCAGCTCCATGTACACCAAGTTCCTCATCCTCTCCAAGTTCACAAATTTCAAGTTCATCATCTCCTAGCTCAACTCCAATAAAATTGAAGGACTTGAGTGATATTTATGCAAGATGCAACTATTGTGTTGTGGAACCAGGAAATTTTGATGAAGCAATCAAAGAAGATGCTTGGAGGAATGCGATGCAAGAAGAAATAAATGCCATTGAGAAAAACAAAATATGGCAGTTAGTTGAAAAGCCAAATGACAAAGAAGCTATTGGAGTAAAATGGGTGTACAAATTGAAGCATAATCCAGATGGGTCAATTCAAAGAGCCAAGGCTAGATTGGTAGTAAAAGGCCATGCACAACAGCCTTGAATTGACTATAGTGAAACTTTTTCCCCAGTTGCAAGATTGGATAATGTACGAACAGTTATTGCATTAGCAGCTCAGAAAGGGTGGAACCTGTACCAACTTGATGTGAAGTCAGCTTTCCTGAATGGAGAATTAAAAGAAGAGGTATATGTGCAGCAAACTCAAGGCTTTGTGACTAAAGGCCAAGAGGAAAAAGTTTACAAGTTGAAGAAAGCTCTCTATGGGTTGAAACAAGCCCCGAGAGCATGGTATAGTGAAATTGACAGCTACTTCATTCAGCAAGGATTTGAAAGAAGTCAAAGTGAGCATACCTTGTATGTGAAGCATCAAGGTAAAGATGATATCCTTCTTGTTGCCCTTTATGTTGATGATTTGGTGTATACGGGTAACAACAAGAAAATGGTTGAAAATTTCAAAATAGAAATGATGAAAAAATATGAGATGAGTGATTTTGGCTTGCTGCATCATTTTCTTGGTATTGAGGTTTACCAAGATGAATATGGAGTTTTTATTTGTCAAAAGAGATATGCTGAAAATATTTTGAAAAAGTTTGGCATGAATGACTGCAAACCTATTGATATTCCTTTATTGATGAATGAAAAATTAAAGAAGGAAGATGGTGGAAGATTAGTAGATGCAAGTATGTATAGAAGTTTGGTTGGAAGCTTGTTTTATCTTACAACTTCAAGGCCCGATTTAATGTTTGCTGCTAGTTACTCTCAAGGTTTATGAGTAAACCGAGTCACTTACACCTTGGAGCAGCAAAAAGAGTTCTAAGGTATGTCATGGGAACCATGGAACATGGAATCAGGTTTGAAAAGAATTTTAAACTCGAAGTTAAAGGCTACTGTGACAGTGATTGGGCTGGAAGTGTTGATGACATGAAAAGCACTTCCGGTTATGTGTTCAACCTGGGTTCAGGAGTAATTTCTTGGTGTTAGAAGAAACAAGATATTGTAGCGCAATCTTCAGCTGAAGCAGAATATTTGGCAGCTAGTTTGGCTACACAACAATCATTGTGGTTGAGAAGAATACTTGACGATATCGGAGAAAAACAAGAAGAAAGTCTGCTGCTTCACTGTGACAATAAATCAACAATAGCCATGGCGAAGAATCCAGTTTTCCACAGTCGAACAAGACATATTAATATAAAGTACCACTTCATTCGAAGTGTGATCGAAGATGGTGATGTGCAGTTAGTGTTCTACAATTCACAAGAGCAGCTTGCAGACATTTTTACTAAAGCACTACCAAGAGAAAGATTTCAGCAACTTAGAGAAGCAATGGGAGTTAAAGAGCAACACATTAAGGGGAGTGTTAAAATTAATGTGTTGTAACCACCACTATCTTTAGGAAGCATTATGAGAGAATTGTAACCATCACATTATAATGATTGTCTTTATTTAGATTTATGGTAGAGTTGTATCATTGAAATTGAGAGAACCAAAGAGTCATCATCTTGATTAGCAACCTATTTGTATTCTCTATCAGTTTCAGAGTTTTTCAATGGTCATCCACCAATAGAAGTATAATACAAAAAGTGATGAAAATTAATTTTCTCTGCAGAATCCTGCAACACTATAATTTTTCACATACCACCTCTAGAATACCGTCAACAGTTTTTATCACTTAAGTGATTGTGGAAAGTGAGATTGGATTCTCATATCTAAATAGTAGTAACATATAAAGCAAATAAAATTAATAGTAGGACCTATCTCAACTACTGATATTTCTGTAGTCAATATTTTCATCCAGATTCAAACTCAACTTCACCCTTGTTTCTAACTAAATTCCAGAGTTGTTTAAACTTCAGTTCATGTTTACGTGTACTACTATTATAAACAAAGACGGCAAGATCTTGACCATTATAAACAAATGAAGTATTTATTTATCCAATTATTATAATGTTTTAATACTGATATAAAGTAATTAAAGAAAAGTATAATAAAATATATTTTGTGTATCCAAAGGAGTTTTCACCATGGACACAGAGATCTAAGAAAAAAATCAAAAGTATATAGTTTTCACCATGGATTGGAAACATGTAGATCTAAGAAAAAGAATGACATGAAAAAGATTTTAACAAGACCATTGATCAGGTAAGGTGAGAAAGTATGTAGTCATGGCCTTCCGGAATCTTTTCTTGTATTGTTTGGGTGAAACAATTGTGGGGGAGGCATTTTTAGGACCCCCAAGTATTCCAGAAGCTTTAACCCATGTCTCTAAATGCTTGTCCCATGTGTACTGTCTCATGAAATCAATTATCCCCAATACCAGCTCCTTTTTCTCATCATCCACTCCAACCAGCAATGAGTAATCCATAACTGCAACTGACTGAAACAGCAACAAGTCATTAAGAAACTTTTGATACTAAAAAAATAACAATTTTTACCAATTATTTAAGCTTACCGCCAAAAATGATGTGTCGTTCCATACAGCTCTCTCGAGTTTTCGCTTAGCCTTAAAACCGAGAAATATGGGATTTGTTCTCAGTGTTTCTAACAAATTCATGTCTAGCATCACTTTGTTAGTACCAGTTGTATCTGCATTGTACCTAGATCTTTCTGACCCTTTAAGGTCATACACTGTGGTTATGTTTCTCTTGTAAAAGAGATTCTCCATTACTATCAGATCTATCTTTGTTTCCTTGCCACCTTTTGGGTATTTTACAGTGACCTGTGTTTGTTAAAACAATGTGTATATATATTATATCAACTTAAAATTTTATATTTCATCAACAATCATCAACAATCTGGAACTTGTATACAGTGATAAAGTATGAGTCTTACCTGATAAATACCAAGAATTTTGGCAAGGCAAGTTGGGCCACCCGAGTTCATTGCATCCATCAGGTATTTGAAATACTGAGGTGCAAACTCTTGAAACGATTCGAATTCGGTCTTAGTCACTTGTTTAATAACAAACCTTTCATCTACCGACTTGGCAAAGTATGCATTACTTTTCCCTCCCTGTGCACTCCATCTCTGGCAACGGGTTAGGGATCGCACATAATCAACTTCATTAGGGCAGCACCTTTTTCTTAGTGAATCAAACTGCTTTGCAAAATAGCAAGTGACAGAAAAGTTCACTTTACCTACGGCACCCAAATAATTGTCTTCAAAAGAGATTTGCGCATGAGCATCATCAGAGACATAACTAGCATAATTGATATAATCTATGTCCAAAGTTGGCCACGCAGAAAGGCAGGAATTTGCTAAATCTTGTTTGTTTCTCTCGCTAGAATTCGAGTTCCTAGAAACCCAATCTTCGTAATCCTTAGAGGTAAGGGCGTAGGATATTATGCTGGAGTAATCATTATCATATACAGCTATAATTCTATCACCATGACATGTTTGGGGAAGCAGCAACCGAGCACCTTCAGCAATGTGAGAAATGGAGGAAAGGAATGATGGCGTGGAGCTCAAAATCAGATTTATCCTCTTTGGAGACTCAAGTTGGTCATCTAGCTCTAGAAGCTTCTCGCGCAAGTTTGTTTTAGTAAGAGAGTCCAGTGTGGACAGTTTGTGATCCCAAACATGCGAACCAATTAGAAGTGAACGTCTCAACCGATTTAGTTCCAGAATGTCTAAAGTCATATCGGCTGATTTTAGCAAAGTCTGTACATACACATACATGGAAGAAAAAGAAAATTAAAGGAAATAGATCAGAAACTTAGATACATACAATACAAGTATATGCACCATAATATTAGTCTACTCACACGATATTCCATTTTTTCTCTTTCAAGCGTGTTTTTTAGATCAAGTATGTGGTTATGAATGTCATGGCCATTTGACAGCTTTGTTTCCAATTGTTCAAGCACATCTGATATCTCCACATACAAGGTTTCCATTTTATGAAAAAGCTGTGCAAAATAAGGGGGGAGAGAAGGTTAAGATTTTGATGCCAAAGAGTTAATATAAAGTAAAATATTAAGAGTGTATTTGTTAAATCACCTCGCCCGTCACCTTTCTAATCCAGTTTTCTGGGATGTATACATCAACAAGAATTGCATAAATAAAGAAAAGGAATAACCATGTATGGATGAGTTATTTACCCATAAAACCGGAGGCAGTCGCTTTGCAAAGAATGTCCGCAGTTAGCAACTCGATCAGCAGTTGCACGGTTTGAGAAGCTAAGTTCCAAGAACTTTCCAAAAGACAATCCCCATGCAGACTTCGGCATAACAACTCTCTGAGTTACTGGCGGAACTCCATCCACAAATGGACACCTCAGACACCGTTGCCACATCCAAATCTTGCCGTCGCTTTCCCCCGGTAACTTCACCGACGGGAGGCGCCTAACATTGATAGTAAGATTTCCTTGCTGGTGTGTAAAACAAACGACATGGGCCTCTGCAGGCTCTTTACAAGACTCGCAGTGATATGTCTGGAAAAGATTGATTTGAATCATCTCCATTCACAATTAACAAACAAAGAAATAGTTCACAGCATACCTCATCAAATAGGCTATTGTACAGATATCTCTCGAATGGCTTATCAAAAGAGCCATAGAATTTTATGCGCAGCAATCTAGTGCGTTCACATACAGTTCCTTTTGATACACAATGACTGGAAAAATACACTAATATATTCTCATGGCCTTCTGCCGCAGAAAAGTATTCACCACAAAACTCATCCTTATTAATCTTGTCCTTTGTGGAGTCAACAACTTCACTCTCTCTTTTCTCTTGAACCATGCTTTCTTGCAAATCTACTCGCCAAGGCTCTCTACACATAGTGTCTGCTTCTTCTGATTCACTGCACTCATGCAACTTCTGATTCACTGCACTCATGCAAATAATCTGATTCTAAACTCAAATTACATGTTAGGTTATTATAGTATGGATCGGAGAGCATATTCTCAATATTAAAGAATAATTTAATAAATTTATTACGTTGACAACGTAACCTTAATTTGTGTATATATTTAAATAGATCAGTTGTAGCTGTTAATTAATTAATTTGTTAATCACCTCTCAATATTGAAATATTTTGTGATTAATTTCATTCTTGAATTCATGTTGAATCTTGAATAAAATCATAATATAATCACATTTTTTTTAATTTTGTGTGATTGAAAACATTATGCTTAATGAGATCGGAGTGATTTGGACAAGATTAAAGATAAATATATATTTATGTATTTTGTATCATTGCAATAGTTAATAATAAATATGTATTTATGTTACTATCAAAAATAAAATTTCACATAAAATATAATTATGCTCAAATTTATAAATATGTAACTTTACGATTCTCAAATTAATTGATATAATAATTAATACGAAATATATTCAAGTTTTTACCAATTTGAAAACTAAAGATTGAATATTCTAATACTTTGTATTGATTGTATGGAAATATCAGGATACAAATTGATTTTAGAATAATACAAAATATGACAATTTTAAAAAATATCATTATATCCGTAACATAATGAAAAGTAAATGTTTTCAATTCTAAAATCACTATTTAAGTTAAAATAATATTTTTTGTCACTTAAAATGATATAGAATATGTTTTTTTTTGTTCAAAATTCAATGCCAAAATAATAGGAACCATACAAAATATGAAGACTTTGCACTGATTATGAAACTTACGAACAAAAAGATACAATTGATTTTCCATAACTTCACAAAATCTGGAATTTAAAGTGAATAAGATTAAAATAATAATTTTTTTTTGAACTTATCACGTATGAGAACAATAAAAGTATCCAATAATTCCCATTTATTCCAAAAATAAAACATTAAATTGATTGATTATTGTTTTATTACAAAAAAATACAGTTCACTGCATGTAATTAATTTCATCAATATCATTTAGAATGTAATGAATATTATAAATTAGTTTTACGTTCTTTATCTAATGAAATATCACTAAATTATTAAATTATTAAAATATTTTTAAATTTTTAGTGTGACTTGTTAGTTAACATAGTTATGATTGATTGACATTCAAATTTTTTTATGTATATTTTAATGTATATCGTAAAATTTGACATGTAAAAATAAAAAAGATGATGGATTATTCAAATCATAATCCAAATAAATTAGAATTCATTACACTTAAATTGGCCTACTAAAATAACTAAAGTGTCCTGCACAATTATAAGTGATCTTCTTCCCTCAAAGCAGTTACAACAATCTGCGATATAATATCAGGCATATAATCTTATAAGAAGCAAGTGCGTTCGATTTATAACTCGTCACAGCATCAAAACAAAACCCAAGATTATTTTAAAAATAGTCCAAATTCAATCATATGAGAAATTTGAGTGAAAAGAAAAGATAGGGTTATAAAAATCCAAAAACTGAAAATTAAACCAATGGTTTCTAATTAAATGATACAAGAATGTGTCTTTCAAGGTTTACTAGTATTAATTTAGAATAGCCATAAGATGTATCTAACGAGGTTTTTATACCAATTAATAGATTTAATAGAATCAGGTAGACACAAATTATAGTAGTATGAGTATGAGAGAATTAATACTCTCATTGAAATAAAAAGTTCAGAAGAAAGTACTCGAGTAAATTTTTACGGTGCTTCCCAAATTCCATGGTTTTGGAACTTGAAGATAAGGACCGTTGAAGCATGGTTTTGTGGAGTTCAAAATATAGAAAGATTGAAGGCCACTCATGGTCTTTTGTTCTTTTGATACAAGGCTCTTGGTCATGAAAGCAAAAACATGGTTCAAGTTTAAAGCTAGATGGAGACTAGAACATGGCATGAAAATGAGGAGAAGATTGAAGATGAAAGTTGGTTATGAAGCATAGTGGTTACTAGATAAGGTTTTTATGTAGTTTCTTGATGTAGTTTTTCTTTGTAATCTTGAAATGGTATTGATGTATTGGTAATGGTGTAATGGTGATATTAATTTTGTACTTTGACCTTGTAATAGAAATTTGAAATTGAATGAACATGTAACCCTTTCTTGTAATGACATCTTCTTCAAAATAGTTTTCTATTCTAAGCTTCTAATTATTTCTTTTGATTTTGTGTGTTAAAGTCCATGATATATGATCTTGCAAATGAGGTATAACCTTGTAGACTTTTGAATCCACATGATAGACTTTCCAATGTCCAAATTGACCTTTTAGCCATGGTCTGAAATCAACAAGACATTTGCCAAAAAAAAAATCCTAAAAAATGACTTTGAAATGTTGTTGTTCAAAGTATGATTTACCTTCTTTCGTTTGAACTTGAAATTCCAAGCCATAACGTACAAACCTTTATATTTCACCCTAGAATGTACCTTGATCTCCTTCTTAGATTTTGAGTACAATCGCTAAGTTTGGATGCCTTCAAATAGTTGGAGGACATTTGTAGTTCTTTTTGGATCCATCAAACCCTAGGCTTTTGTCTTGAGACAATTGGAATAAAGTCAAAAGATATGGCTGATATCACAAGCAACCCAAGTAATTAGATGAAGAACTTTGATCCATCATGTCTACAACCCTAATTTGTGAATGGCATCCAAGCAAAGGCACCTCTTCTTGTATGAGCAATAGCTACATGATAGGGTTCAAGAAACAAGTGAACTTACTTGCTTGATGAGAAACATTCAATAGAAACCCTAATTTTGCAGATATATCACTTCTTTTACATATCTTGTATCTCAAGTCAATGATAGAATCCCTTTGATGATAAGATTCCTTGATGATGAGTACTCGAGGCTTTGTGAAGTTCCTTGCATTGTAGGCAACAAATAATCATCTCATGTTGAAGAAGCCAAATAATGTTGAGTATAAGAGCCTTTAGTTTAACCAAACCCTGCAAAAGATGAGAAAAACCCTAATCTATAGATGAAGCCCTAATACACATGTGAAAATCTAGTCTTCTTGACCTTTAATCCATAATGCCAAGCCTTGTTGTTAGTGAATTCATGATGTGTTAGATGATCTAATGGTGGGTATGTATATGAGGAATACGAGATGCATAAGCCAGATGATTTGGATAAAAGGGTAGGACAAATTTGGGGTATGAAAATACCCCACAACATATGGTGCCTCAGTGTAAATTAGAGGGCATGCGCCATAGGATTGAAAGTTCTTAGTTTGATAATATATTTGAAAACATGTTTATTTGGTTATTTTATTTTTAAAAATGATTATTTAAAAAAAATTCACAAACTTTGAATATTTTTATAAACTTAATATAAAATTCGAGCATTAAAAAAATTAATTTTTAGAATAAATTACACTCACATTTACTAAAATCTATTAAAATGATATTGACATTCTCTATAATTTTAAAATATGCACTAACCTCCTCTGAGGTCTATTAAAATGACATTGACACTCCTCTAGTTTTTAGTGACAATTAAAAGCGTAGGTATATGTGACATTTACCTACGACTTTTGTCTGTCACTAAAAAATTTGTTGGTATATGGTAGCACAAGGGAGGTTAATAATGCATATTTAAAAATTGTAGTGTTATATTTATGAGTGTCTTAAACTAGGGCGCCCTTGTCCAAAAGTTGTATTGCATATGTGATGTCCTCAAGGCTCACCCTTAGCACGGATGAGACATGTGTTGTACTCCAAAGTTTACCTTATTTTATTTAACCCTAAGTGACTTTTGCCTTCATTATCATTCACACATGCATAACATTTGGTCCTTATCGTGTGGGATCAATATTTGTGGATTAAGGTTTTTCTCCTTGCAAGAAGGAGATACAATGATCAATCAATATAAAGATGAGATATCAATCATCGAGATTATTCTCAACAAGATATAGGGTCTTCTAGCTATTAAAATTGCTCAAAGATCATCAAGAGATCACATTTCAGTGGTTAAAGATGGATCACATGCTTCCATATAATTGATTCCCCAAATTAGGGTTTTTGGTCAAAGACAACCTGAGGTTGACTTTTTGATCAAATCTTGAGTTCATGGTGCATGCCATGACTAAATACTCTCATACGTCCCTCATTGAGCCATTAAAGTTGGCTCAAGGCATTGCAATTGACAAATGAAGAAAATTTGACCTAGTTGACTAAGAAGTCAACAATCAGTCAAAGAAGGTCAAACTATGGGAAATTTGGTCAACATAGATGTTTTCACCACTTTTCACAAAACCAAGGAGATTGATCAAGAAAAATTCAAAATAATCAACAAAATCCTAATGTTGACCAAATAGGGTTTTTGAATTTTTTCTCTAAGTGTATAAAATTCATTACTTTCTTCATGGCTTTTCAAGGATGTATCCCACTCATTAATGCCTCAAATTGAGCAATCTTGGGCTCTAGTTGTAGATAATGCTTCATACTACAACTTTGTATAAGTAAGCAAGTCTAAATGAGGCTTGGATTAAAAGTTATGGATGTTGAAAATTGGTGTTTCAATAAGCATGCTAGTCTAACACATAGAAAAATTTGAAGTGTTTTCAAAGTGTTCAAGTGTGAGACTTTGAGAGGGTTTTCCATTGTTTACCATACATCAATCCGAAATTAGCCTAACATCAAAGATGCTCATCTTCTCACTCCCTTTTCAAAGATGTCAATATCTCATAAAATGAAACAACACGGTGGAAGTTATGATTCCTCAAAGTTGGGAATTTATAACTAATCAAATTGAATGATAGCCCAGATTTGGCCAAGTGTATATCCAACTTTGAATGCACAACTTCAAGGTTGAATTAAAGGATGTTCTTGGAAATATCTCAAGGATGTTTCAACACAAAAGATGTTAATCTTCAAGCAATATTTCTCTTCACCTCAAGACTTCATCATATAGAGGTGTAGGTTGCAAGTTAGAGGCTTTCAAAGTGAGGTGCATGAACATGGGCCC